TACATCCAGCATCGGAAATGGAAGGACCTCAGAAGAAGCTTGCCACTCGTGCTAGCGAAACGTTAGGAAGAAATTCCAAACGACGACGGCCTTTAGTCCCGAATCAAGACAGCAGTTTATCAACTGGCCGCGAAAGCCTTAACCAATTTGTCAAAATGAATCCTTGAAGTTTGGTCATGATCAAACTTCAAGGGTTCATTTTAAGAACAAAGCTCATAATAGCATAATTCCATCAGGGGTATTACGTACCTTGAAAAGTGCAATTATGTCGGTTTTTTACGAAATAATCCTGCGGATTTATCGGGAAGAGGCGACGTTTCCAGATGAACTACACGTAGGGCAGGGAAAGAATGTCTATGGACTAATTGTATGGACCTGTTTGACTGACTTCTCAGAGGGTCTAGTTTGAACTGAACATTCTTTATGAACTTGACGCCATTTTTTCATATGAATTTCATTTTAAATTGTCAGACCAGATTTTCTCGAAAAGGAAGGAGTTGATAGAAATTTTTCAAGACATCTCATGTAAAATCAAATACCTTATAAAAAATGCAATAGGTGTTTTTTTAATATGTGATTTTCGTAAAATTATGTATCTTCTTCCATCTACAGGTATCAACATATACTAGTTTTATGCTGCTCATGTAGCTTACGTATAATGTATTCCGACGTCTAAAAAGGAATCTGCATGATGATGAGCATCTGTGAGACAGTAGCAGAACACACAAATGAATCTACTTCAAAAAGAATTAGAGTGCTCGGTTCTGCTAATGTCTCATAGATGGCACTAGGATCTTCGATCCCTTTTTGGCATATCTAATGCCTATTTTAGTTCGTTATCTTCAGGTGGAATACAATAATCAATGCCTGAAAATATCCAATTAAAAGGACAGCCAAATAGGAACTGAAGATCCTACAGCGCTATCTATAGGACAATATCATAACCAAGCACTAACGCTTTTCAAAGTAGGTTTCCTGAATTCGTTTTTGTATTCAGCTACAGTCTTATACTGGGTGTCCCAGAAGTCGGCGTCAAGCCGGAAACGGGGGGGGTAGAAGTTATAATAGTTTACAGGCTTTAAAAAAAAATCGGAAAAATCTACACCCTGCGATGATCTTTTAGATCCCACTACTACAAATTCCAGGTTTTTCTTAGACGGAGTGTCATTCTACGTAATGACAGTAAGACAGATAGCGCCACTTTAGTGATTTTTTTAAAGCCCATAATTTGAAAAGTACACGATTTTTTGTATATCCTTCTGAGAACTATTATGACTTGCCGTATCCCCCGTTTCCGGCTTGAAGTCGACTTCTGGGATACCCTGTAATTGCCTGTAATTCAAGAAGCAGAACTTCCTTAAAAATATTTCCAAGTGCGTCTATGTTCGCATATACGGACAGCCCGAAGCAGCCACAAGAAATGTCCATACTATTGGGAGGTCGGGGAAATGGTAATTTGCCTTGCATCCATTTGCAATATTAAGCAGATCAGATAGTGGCAGAGTTCTCTGTTAGTCGAGCAGAAATTGCGGCAGAACAAGGAAGTATACTGCAACCAAATTAATAATGTCAGATGAACGGCGAATTCCTAATATTTCCTGAAGCCGTTTGCGAGGTCCTTCTTAGAAGCGTGCACAATCATTATCATACATTTTGCTTTAATCTGTTAATAGATTTAATCCGGATATTCGCCAATTATTATATGGAGGTAGTTCGGGCGTGTAAAGGTGTCATTTGGAGTAGCAATATCTATTTCTACCTGCTACACATGACTTAAAAAATGGCATCTAGTAGAATGACTATGTTTCCAACGAAATTATACGGACCTCAGCCTATTTAAGTCTTTATTCCACACTCTGGTATCTGTATTATTCAAGGGTATAAAATTCTTTGTACCTTAACATAAATGAATACGGATGAAAAACAATATTGTAACGATAACGCCCTTCCTACTATTTAAAGTCTAATTTATCACTCTCACACTTAGGAATTCACATTTAAGTCTGTCTGTCAAATAGTTGAAAAAAGAGTACTTAGTCTTGGTATTACTTGATAAATACGAGTAGATTATAAATACACAACCGACAGACTTTATTTGACAGAAGTTTCAGAGAAAACAATACAATTGAACAAAATAGTTTCTTCTTCGTCTATAACAAATATTAGAACGATAAAAGTGTATATTCATGGTTTATGTAGAAATAACTTCTTGCTCAGCTGATGCAAAAGAAATGGAAGATTCAAAATTAGGTTGAGTTACGACACATGAGGGTCCCAAAGGATTTCTAATGGTGGTAAAATAAAAAATAATGTTAGTGACAAATTTTGATTTACACTCCTATAATAGCATAATAGTTATTTTTAAGTTGTGCCTGCTATACAACATGTATAATAGCTATAGGTGTATGGTCATATATTTTGTTCTTGTGAGAACATGTACAGTTAGTTGTGTTGTCTTTTTTTTAAGAAATTTAATTCTGATTTGTTTTTAGATTTATAGAAAATATACTTTTCATATCTCATGCGCTGCGTGACGCTAATGCCCTTGATCGGCCGAAGACCTTACGCCGGCCTTGATTTTTTCTTCCTACTGATTTTGTCCTTAAATTTACGGAATTTACCGTCTACCGATTTCGTGCTTTTTAGTTTGGCAACGCTGTTTGAAGGCATCATTTGAGATTACATTGTAGAAGGCGTCTCGTGACAATTTTCTGTTTTCTACGTAATTATTTGCATTAAAATACAAAATTGTTCAAATAAGAATTTTGTTCAGAAATGCTTTCTTCTGAAAATATGTATTATGAAAAAAAATCAGTTTGATGATCTCTTATTAGTTCCTTTAGAACTAGCTTGGAGATACTATAGAACAGGAGTTGGTGCAGATGATTAATATCGGTTTTTTTTAAATAACATATACAACATTTAATTTACTGTGAAATGTAAACATAAGGTGCAGTCATAGGGAACTTTTGAAATATTTTTGACAATAGGAACTCTACCATTTGCTACTGTTCCTACTCTTGGGCCACTACAGAATGAAGATAAAAATACACAACCACCCTTTATTTACCTTCCTCATATTTGAAAACCTTGAAAACCGTTATCAATCCAAATAAACTAGTAAAACGACAGAAATAAACAAATGCAAACCAAAGTACACTTACCGCAAAAAAGGACTTCATATTCCTGAATACAGTCCCACTGATGCTCACTACACTTTCTAGTCACTTCAGTCAATTTTCGGATGAAAATTATTAAAACTAAATTTAACCAAGGCAAATGTTTATCCCGCGAAATGCCGGTGGACCCATAACCCGATTCAATGAAAGTCTGCACCTGCATGATCACAAAAACAATGTTACCTAGGATAATTGAAAAAAAACGCGAAAACCGAACACAGTCAACAACGAATTCGCCGAAATCCGTCTGGCATCCCTCACGGCAAAGCAAGAAAAAAATGTCTTCAAAAGTATTGCTTGAAACCACTTCAATATTATTTAATGATGACAACTACAAATTAATACGTCGGTTACGGTAAAATAGGAAATAAACAAACGCCTCTCGCAGTTTCGCAAGACGCCACCACCTGTTGCATAAAGTTACCAAAACTGTCACTGTCACTAGACTTTTAGGCTGCCGATCTCACCAGTGGCGCGTGGCATTTTAAACGGCAGTGGCGTATCATCATACGTACGATGAACACCTATAAAAATACACGCACAAAGAATTCGATATTATATGTATAACAGAATACGTCGCAAATATCAGGTCACTAATACCAAATTAATGTACAATTGAACCTATAAGTTATAGAACGAAACAAAAGAGAAAGAATAGCTTCAAGCTCAGTGAACACGTTTGGGTAAGACGGCATAGGGTAAAACAGGAGAAAGTCTCAATAGCTCGAATACAACAAAACAATTACGAGATGAAGGTAAACAAGTCCCACTTATAGTTGAAGCTGAATAAATCAATGTTTTTCTGATTGTTACAAAATTCGGACTTCTTCCTTGTCTTTTGTTAGTAGATCCCAATATAGGCTCAGTTTTACCCTCTTTAGAGTCACACTGCTGTTTCTTGACTCATTTTTTTAAGCAAACTTGAGGTGTCGAAATAACGATTCTCGTATTATTTCTGATAATTGTTTGCCCAACCAAAATTAAATTTTATAACTTCAAAATTAATGATATACGAGTAAATCAATTCAAAATTCCAGATTAGGGCCCACCTCCAGCCGACACTCTCCCCCTTCCTCCTTGCCCCCTTTTTCGAACCCTCCTTGCCGACTTTTAGGAAACTAGATCAAAAAAATCTATAAAACTCCAAGAGAGAGCCAAGGCCTAAGGACGCTCGGCAGATATAAGAGGAATATAGAAAGAATCCCTCAGTAATAATCTCTACTAATATAAATGTGAAAATATGTATGTATGATATGTTTGTATGTTCCGTTTTCACGCCAAAACGGATGAAATGAGTTTGATGAATCTTTTAGCAAATATAGATTAGAAGCTTTGGTAAGGACATTTCAGTCATGAACGGATTTTGAGGCAGGACCGCATTAAGGAAGTGGCACTTGAAAGGTTGCTTGATATTGCTTGGAGTGTTCTAATATCTAAAAATGGGCAACGATGAGGTTCTGCTAAAGTAGACCTAAACTAAGAATCGATTGTATAACCGAAAATTTTTATAGGTGACAGCAATAAAAAAATAAACAAAGTTTCCAAGCATGCAATTTGACTGTCGATTTTCTAATGCAATGCAATAGTAGCAATACTCAAAAACAATGTTACACGTTAGTAACAATTTAACGTGTACGAAGTCGCGGATAACGGCTAGTGTACAATAACTTTATTGACCGATAATAAACCTTTCAAAATCGAATTAACAAAGAAATATCGAGAAGCTCCTCACGAACGTTAAGGAGTTATCGAAATGTCTATATTTTTCCTCTAATGACACAGTTTGTTGAAGGTCACCATTGAACTCGCTAAAGCGTGTAAATGGTACGCAATTTTCGCACGCAAAAACCACGTGATCCTTTTTATACTGGATCTTGCATCCAAAGGTGCGATTTAAAATACACTGTAGGTATGCTACTATTTTCGTCAGTAGCGTACGCATGCGTTCATTTAACACCGCGATTCTTCAGATATCTTTTTGAGAACAAGCAGAGGAAAATAAATGGCGTCAACTAGATTGACTCTATAGTTCCTACGGCTTCGTAGGTGAAGGAATTAATCGTGAAGGTGAGTCAATCTATTCGACCGGCGAAGTATTCAGAGAACCATGATGTAATGAGTGACACAAATTAAAGATTAGACGAAATGGGTGGTTACATTTGAGGATCATAAAATTCAGAAAAATATATATGCAGATATAAAGACGATTGAGTCAAGTTCTTCTATATTATTTTCACCCGCTGTCTCCTATTTCTTGTGAGTAGTGAAAAATATTTTTCGGAGAGAATATAGTTATGCAAAGCATAATAGTTCTTTGAAATTCCGTCTACGTATTTCAAATGGATCTACACCATCGCGTGAGAAGTACGGAGTTATTCTACTTCACCCCATTTTTATTACTCTCTTATGATTTCTTCGGTTTCGCTCTCATTACCTCCTCCATCTTCTCTTCTCTAGATCTACCACTGTTGTCTAAAGGTGTGATTTAAAAGTTATACGCTACCTAACAGTTGGCCGGGCATAATTGCCACTTACCGCCACCCCAATTAAAATAACTCTCAGATGCTGGGTGTAAAATTGAAAGCCTCCACTGAGACTGAAAAATCGCACTAATAATATGTGCCGGCTGCCGTAATGAGCATGATCAAGCTTTACATTCACTTAAAAGGTGTTTTTTTGGTAGACTCTGCCGACCCAGGACAATGTTTGCATCAGAATCATACCTTCAGGAACAGATATATGCTAGATAATCAATGTGGTATTTTTTACAATGATGATGATAAAAGATAATGTAAAGTTGATTATATTAGTACTTGCTACTTCCCACGCATTCATGGAAGTGCTTTATGGACTTCACGTAATCCTTTCATCCAAAGACAGCTAACCATACATAGCTGTTTCGTGCTTTTTGGCAACTCATCAGCATTGTCTAGGCTTGGTCTCTCGTCTCTGGGACAACGAACACCTGTCTACCAAAATAAGACAGCGGTAAGCGTCATCTGCCTGATGATTTTTTATTCGGTTATTCATATAACTTAAGAGAGAGTTCGTAGGATACTGAGGATAGGAAACTTCAAACTGACAATTCACAGGTTTTCTTCTGTTTTCATAGAGTTATAAAAATCGACCGCAAAAAGTGTGTATACAGCGAAAACCAAATTTGCCTGAAGGCTTGAGTTCAATGTGTACGAGAGAGAATGCGAGCAGTGTGTATCAACACACACATGTTAAAAAGAGATAGAAGCCGGCTGAAGAGCGAAGGTCATCACCACATTGCTTAGCAACGATGGCGCAGAAGGTCGTGCAATCTACCCTTTGGCCAAATTGTTACACAAGAAAATATTCGCACAGGCTGCTACAATAGGCTAGGTCTATTTCAATTTTGATGCAACTTAGTGTTTAAATTTATATTAGAATTGTCTCTAGCTTTTAGAATCTTTATATACATTAAAAATGTTTTGACTGCCTTAAATAATATATCAGAAACTTTAAAAATGCGAAAGACGGTATGCAATTTTTTAAGATTTTGACTGTGCGAACTATCAGAAAATTTAATAAAACAGTTTAAGTACCTTTTGGTATAACTTCACCATTATTACACCGATTATCTGAAATAATAGTGGAGTACAGACAATTACAATAAATTGTTGAAAGGTATATTCAGCAAGTAAAGAGATGAAAAAGTACGCCACTGGTTTTTGCATCAAAATCGGTATCAATATCTTGAACACAGTGATTCTGCATATTTTTCGTTCACCCTTTCCGTCACTTTTTACAAAGCACGTAACGGAGAACTCTATACGCTTCAAACAGAATCAATATACGTAGACCTTTTGCTCTCAGCACTTGTTTTATTGAAATTTCTTCTACAAAACGAGAGACAAGTAGATATAAGCTAAAGCCATTATTACAATAGAATCAAGAATCGTTGTTTGAAGTAATGATGGAAAAACTAAAACACCGTTGGTATTTCCAATTATCCAGTTCTGTTAATATAGGTCCACTTAGCCATATATGCCGACCACATGTTGTAGACTATGACAGTCACTTAATTTTTTTTTCGCTCACGTATATGTTAAAACAAACTGCATTTTATTTAAAACGAACTTGTTCGGCCTGGTGTAATACAATGCTGCTAGTATCGTTCTAAAAGAAACTAGAAATTATACACTGACAAGAACATTCACTTATAGCCTAGGGTCCCTGTATCAGCAGAAGTTAGCCCAATGTCAAAAAAAAGCTCTATATGCATTACTCATTATCGACTCTCCTTAGCCGCTTTCCAGTGCTGAGGTGAGGTTCTCAAACGCAACGAAAAAAACACCACCTGTCTTTTGATGTTTTGCTTTGACATTGACAGTTTGTGATCACACTGCCAGAAAATCTTTATTCATTTGTGTTGTTGATTCGAACTCTTTAACAATTCAATTCTTGCGGGTCCAGCTTCTAAATAATGAGGATGAAGTTTTTCAGGCAAAGCTCCTACAATGAAAATGTGGAACACATTTTGCCTTTATTTTCAGAAGCATTGTCAGACTATACAATTGATGCCTGATGATGGTTTCAGAATAATGGCCGCAAAGGTCTGCATTTTAATTGTAAAGCTTTTGTGTGTAAGAGTTGAATTCATATTTTAGCGTAGAAATTAAAAATTATATAACACCGAATAAAAAGATACCGTAGTGCGTGAGAGGTCAGGGTATTTCAAAAATGAGTAACTCAGGTGCATGGTACTCCAGAGCAATGGAACGGTATTGTCAGGTGTTGAGTAGCACTAATGGGGCACCGAAAAGCGGCTAAGTTTTAGTTAGTTCAGGAGTGCAACCCTTCGTCTAGCAGTCTGGCATTTATGAAAAACATTATCCAGTTATGGGTACTTGGCTCCAGTGATGTACCAAGTACTAAGAAGCTGAAAACCTGGCAATACTAGGCCAAAGGCTCTTGGTTTATCTCACGACAAATATATTCAACACACTAAATTGATACAATTTGTAAAAAGTCGATTTTAGAGCAAAGAATAAAATAAATAAGTCCGATAAAAAAGATGTTTTTCTATTTCCAGTCATATATAGTAATAGTGAAATTAAGAGTCCAACATTACAATTTATCGTGATAATAATCAAATGAGGGGATGCTTGCGAACATAACCAAAACAACAACCTTCTGGTACAAAATCAAATAAAAAATCGATAAGAGAGACAAATAAAACATTAAAAATCTAAAACATAACGCAAAACCTTTTTTGAACTTAACAATTTAAAAAATTAAAAAAATATTGCATCAAATGTTCAGTGTCATAATGAAAATAATAAACGACATGTATGAAAATAAAACAACCTTATGGACTTGGAACTAAATTACTAAATATTAGGTTTGAACCATAAAGAAATAAAAAAGGTTATTGTCGCTGATTTCAATTAGCGGATTTAAAAGTAGTAGTTTTGTTAATATTTTTGCTAAAATACGGATTCGTGTTTCTCGCATTGGAGAACAAAATTTCGACTGGCGAAAGACATTTTAACCGTTGATCGGCAATTTATTAATGTTTACACTCCTTCAAGAAAGAAAACCATTTGAAGAGGTATGGAACTCTTTTACATATTTTCACACGTCTTTAATCGACATATTCATGTTAGTGAACGGTGAACTTGCTTCGAGTGTTTGCATCTATCGTACAGATGGCGTTGCTTACAAAAATTGACTTGTATGAGAAATGTATATAATGGATTTACTAAACATCAATAAAAATATGATTAACAAAATCGATTAGAATGTTAATGCTGGTGATAGGGAGCGACAAAAATGATGAGATGACCTATAGTGTATTTACACCCAAGATAGAGGATGCGTGATTGCCAAAAGCAAGGACGGCGTACAGGGCCGCATTCAGGGCTACCTCCGAATGATGGACTACCACCTGTGCTGATCCCTGAATGATTTTGGTCAGGTACTCTCTCCTCCACAGAACAATTTCTTTTCTATCCATAAGTAAGCTGTTACGACCTCGTTTCTTCCATTCGAAATTAAGTTGCTTCAAAAGTTTATGAATAGTCGAACGTTTGAAATTTGGTAACATAGCATCCTCGTTAACCTCCCGTAGTACTTTATCAACTGTCGGTATTTCGTTTCTGAAGAAGAACTCGTGCACTTTCCTCCGAATCGCATGCTTGTCAGCGTCATCCAACGGTCTTATGATACTTTTGCGATTTTTACCCGTCATTGGCTTGGAAAAGGCATGCTTTTTCTTATGTTCGTTCAAAACATTGTACACTGTCGCTTGGCATACCCCAATTTTATCTGCCACTTTCAGAGCTATTTTCGGGTTAGTTGATGTTTCGTCTTCATTCCGCTCTATCTTGAATGTATTCAATATGACGTCTTTCATGTCTACGCTAGGATGTCTTTTTTTATCGCTTTCTAGGAGGGCTAAGGGAGTAGCCTACAGCCTCGTCAGCAGTATCTGTACTGGACATGTTCAGGATTGGTTCAAAACAAATAATAACGAGGAATAACAATAACAAACAGAAACTTAACAAATTACTCAAATACACTTAACAACAACAACAGCAACAACCAAGCGAGGTGAATACGAAAACACGAACACGCAGTGATACACGCGACGGTCGCTGGCCTGAATGCAACTCTGCCTGCCTGCCCCTGCCCCGCGCATTATTCCGCCAGGCGACCGCTTGAAATTTAATGGCGAATTGACCAATAAGAGGCGTTGTCCCCACCTATTACCGAGAGATCACGCGCTAACTGTTATTATTTACATCTCATCTTGAATTTGGATTCAGTTTAGTTGCCAGTCTCGCTCGCTTGTTACTATTGCTTCTATCACATTTTGCGAATTCCAAAATGTATGCATATATGATACATGATATAATATATGGGCTCCTGGACTATCACACCAGCTGGGTGATGTGTTCGTATATTAATAAGACCTTTTACGAAAACGCTCAAAAAACTAATCCACGTTTTTTTTTTCTCACCAGTTTATTAACATACGTGTCGTGAAAAGGCTATTATTGCATTATGTCAACATGTAAAAAAACTTGTTATACATATCTAGACGAGTTTTACGGATTAATAAAATGTATGTCAAAAAACTTGATGCTATTAGGATGGTGTGCCAGAGAAATGGAATTTGATGTATAATCTGGTGATTTGTGGATGGAATATTTTGCAACATCATTATGCTAATGGTACGAACTAATCAAGGACAAACAAAACACTGTTCTGCTAAATGTGATGAAAATAAAAATTTAGCACGACATACCAGCTCAGTTGCTAAGATGAAGCTTTATTTGCTTTAAGTTCGGCATCAAGTCCTAGGAGCATTTCGCCATATAACTACCTCAATTACTCTATACAGAGCCCATAAAAGACCCGATCTGAAGTACTGCTCTCATGATTGAGGATTGTAGAACTATTGTCCTGACTGTACTGGCAAGCTTCCTCTGAACCACCTTCGTGATGCATTCTGGGCCTGCCAGACGAACTTGCCTAGATTTCGCGTCTCATTCTAGCTCAGCTGAGCTTTGTGCATAGAAAACTAGCCGGTACGATTGTTCATTTAAGTATATGTGAGGTACTGAGAACATTAAAATAGATACCTTCGCTAGAGCTGCGGGGTTAAAACTGGTATAATAATCTGAATTTATATTATACAAAATAATCGCTACTATAGTTATAGTCACCGTTCTTGACAGGTCAAAGTAGGACTACCAGCATCCCTTTATACAGGGTAGCCCACCCATGTGTGGACGGAATTTTAGTCATAAACAAATACATTTTGGGAAAATCTATTTATGGGATGTTATACATGACATTTGAGGACACATTTCTAAAATACTGGCCATTATACAATGTGTCCCAATTGACATACTATGGGGTTTTGGTAATTAGCTACTGAGATATAAGGTGTTTTGTCTAGAAAAACCCCCCACTTCGGCAACCCCTCAGTCCGTCATTTTGAGATTTGGAGTGCTAAATTTTGTAGAAAAAAAACTTACACACCTCAGCTTTTATCTTATTTGTTACTTTTTCGAATATTAATTTTTGCACATACAGGGTGGTCAAAAACGCATATTGGTGTTTTTCACAAAAATTTCAAATGCATAACCCTGTATATTTGTGCAAGTTTGTATTCATTTTTTATGAGGCTTTTTCGATACTAGACACATAAGCTTTTTTACGGCTATTTTTTGGCTATTAGCACGTCTTTTATGGAACGGCTTAATTCCCTAAAATATCGCATCATCTTTTGAAACAAATAAATTGTTGATTAGTTACAAACTGTCAAAATTAGCTTTGTGAACCTTATAATAAAAACGTGTTCGAAAATTAATTTTTTTAAAGAAGAAATAGTGAATATGGTGTTCGTTTTGGGTGAAGCCCAAAGTAATAGTTTCCTAGCATCTCGCATTTATAAGCAACGTTGAAGCTGATATATACTGTTCTGATTGTTATTAGTTTTTAGGTCAAATCTATAATCTTAGTGGCAATATATAACTAGCCCACTTTTTGTCTTTTGTGTCCATCGATGATGTGATTTTCTTCCTTAATTTTGGTGTGTTGTTCTATTAAAAGCTTAATAACTCTAAATCTAGTGAATTTTCTCTGAATCAAACCTTATACCAAAAAAAAGCTTATGAAAACTTGAATCCAATCTAGCACAAATATACAGAGGTTGATGCATTTTAAAGTTTTGAGAAAAAGTACAATTCGCGTTTTTGACCACCCTGTATGAGCAAAAATGAAAATTCGAAAAAGTAACAAATAACATAGGTAACAAGGGTGCCATCCTTACTTTAAATAGTCTATCCATTTCTGATGTCTGTAAAAAAACAGTGAAATAGTTTTATAATAATGAACGTCATTTGTTTCAGGGTTACACAAGTAGTGGGAGTAGTCGAAGAAGGTCATCTCCCAGTGGAAGTACCTCGAGGGACCACCATCGTGTAGCAAAGTCACAGGTTTCGTCAAATGGGCACAACAACTGGTTTAAATCACTGGATAGGCTCGCCCACAGGAAGAAAAGTAAAAAGGTAAAGAAAAACGTTTACTGTCAAAATAACAAAATGAAGTGTCGGTAATCTTGAAGGCTTGCTCCAAAATGTATTTATTTAGTCTTTGATCTATTAAGCAGGAGCAGATTTTACTTTTTAGCAACGCAACAAAACAGAAGTTCCTAGAAAGGCCTTGAGGTTATCAGATTTCATTTGTTTGGTCAGACCTTAAATTGAACATAGCAATAGAGTTTGAAAAACTGAGACTACTTTTTCATATTATTGTTATTAACATCAAAAAAATTTTCATTCTGTGTTCAGGTTTCACCATACCTCTTTATATTTCCTTATAATTGTCATCCAACAACAAAGTCATAGCCAACTAAGGAAATACATACATCACTGAATTTAGGACTGAAAGGTCCATTTGTATGTATCAATGCCAATATAGCATAGATATGAAAAAAGAAAGTTGGTCATGGAAGTCGAAAATGGAATGTAGAATTGAAAATTTGACTACGCCATTTTGTAGAAGAGAATAAGAAACATGCAATTTATTTTAAAATCCCATCTCAGGAAGAAATAAAAGTGATTTTGAGATAAATCTGGTATTCCAAACAAATGACTACCTGATAATTTCAAGACCTTAGGAAATTTGCTTTTTACAAAATAACTAAGATTTGGCAATGTCAATGTATGCATATGATACATCTTTGGAATGATAATTAAAAATTCTATTCATCTGTGCAAAAATCCAATATGGCGTCCATAAGAAAAAATAAAGTTGATGCTGGAGGACAAGAGACGGAACGTTACATTGTAATTCTAATTATATACATAATTTTTTTATGTAGATTCACATTCTTTAATATTCGCATATCATCAAGGAACACCCTGTATATCTTGTAAGGGAGAGAAAGCTGCAATGTTAATGTTCAATTCATTTTGAGGGTCGAATTTGAAACACTGTAAAATTCAATAAACTAATAGCAATGCAAGCATAAAAATGTCTCTATTCAGTTAAAATATTCTTGGGAAACCCTTTGGTCTTGTGTGATTGGCAATTCGGATGTATCCAATATTGGACTCTTTCCAGGAGGACCCAATCTTGACCAGCGGCACAGAGTCTGACCACCCATCCCCTTCCAAGAAGAATCTCCGATTCTTTGGAGACACCGACCTCGAATCTAACGACAGCATCCGTCATAGAGGCGTCCCTCAGAGGTCCAAATTGAACGGATTGAGGGGTAGGAGTCAGAGCACTAAGGAACTGCATAATATATCAGAAGAGATCAGGGGTACGGATATGCTCAGGAGGCGGGAAGGTCATAGGTCAATGGTGGACATCATGGAGGAAGATAGGGACATCAAAGGGTTAGTAAATGCTCAGATTCAATGGTGGAGCTATCGCATGTCACCAAGAACAATTTCACCAACATTAATATACTAAGTGACATATAAATCCGAACACCCAGTTTAAATGGTTTTATTTTAATAAAAGTTGGTGAATGTATTTATCTTACTGTAAATAACAAGTGAAAAAATTTTCAGCCTTATCAGTTGGACATTCCGGTTTTTATACTGCTTTTTTTTAATTCACTGACGCTCTAAAAATATTTCAGCCGCAGTAAAGAATCAACGTTGGCGGATTTTGGTTCTTGACATCCTTTACGATCGGTTACGATGCCTAGAGTACGGAGACCTGTACGATTTCGTCAACTTAGTGAGTTTGATGGGGGCCGTATAGTGGGACTTCGGGAAGCTGGACTTTCTTTTCGGGCAATTGCAGTTAGAGTGCAAAGAAGTGTAGACACTGTGGTTAGGTGTTGTCAGGCATGACTTCGAGAAGGCCGTACGCAAAGAGCAAGGAGCACTGGACGCCGCCGTAGAACAACAGACCGTGAAGATCGCCGCCTAAGATTATTGGCCTTAAGGGACCGTTTCTGCACTACCAGGTCCATTGCATATGAATGGTTTGCAGAACACGGAAGACCTATTGGCATGCGAAGTGTTTACCGACGAATGAGAAGTTTTGGCTTGTTTTCATACCGGCCACACTGGGTCCTCCCCTTAACTCGAGAACACCGACGTAATCGCCTTGAAAGGTGCAGACAACCTTCACTCTGGGATCAGGAATGGAACAGTATTGTCTTTAGTGACGAGTCTCGATTTTGTTTAGGCATGCACGATGGTCGTGCCAGGGTTAGAAGGCGACGTGGTGAAAGGAGGAATCCACAGTTTTTTGTCGAAAGACATGTTCATCACACTGTTGGAGTTATGGTTTGGGGTGCTATAGCTTATGGTTCCAGGTCACCTTTAATCTTCATCAGAGGTAACATGAACGCGCAGCGTTATATCCACAAAGTTCTAGAACCCTATCTTGACACCCTGGCAGATCCAACTTTCCAACAAGATAATGTCCGACCACATGTTGCAAGAGTCACAATAGACTTCTTTCAACATAATGATGTCACATTGTTACCATGGCCACCAAGATCTCCAGACTTATTCCCAATTGAGCACGTGTGGGATATGATGGGTAGGAGATTGCTCAATTTGCAACGTCCTTCTCAGTCTCTAGAAGCACTTCGAGAGGAGTTGGTGGTTGCCTGGAATGAGATACCACAGGAGGACATTGACCACCTGATCAGAAGCATGCCTAGGCGCGTTGGAGAATGCGTAGCACATCAGGGTGCATCCACACATTATTAAAGGTCAAAGGGCTTTAAAGCAGTGCAATCATTTTGAAATTTTTATCATTTACTTATTATGCTTCATTAAGTACTTATACAAAATTTTATTAAAATAAAACCATTTAAACTGGGTGTTCTGATTTATATGTCACTTAGTATATTTAACGGTCCCTTGGACGAACAGGAAAATACCTTATGAAATGCAATTTGACAGAAGCTGTCAAAGCTCTCTGAATATCAGTCATTTCTATTGAAATGTTGAATAAAGTCGTGAAAAAACGGTTGCCTGATAAATAAGGGTACATTATAGATATAATATTATGTCTTTGTGCTTTAGAGTTAAGATAACTTTCATAGAATTTCAAATTTTTATCATTTCAGAAAAAACGATCAGCTATTTAAGTGGGACCAACGAGAATGCGGCAAATAATGGGTCGATTTTCTAGTTGTTGTACGAGTATTTGGTAGGATGTTTTCGCTGTTTTTGACGACTATTCATGCATAGCAATCTAGTTTTGTCTGATGAAGGGCAAGTAAATGAATGAATCTTTGGAAACGAGCAATATCTATGAAATTTTTGGCAGAGTCTGTCATCAAGTAGGTGTTTAATGGCTATCTGCAAGAGGTTTATAGGAAAAAAACCAGGCAGGTGATGTTCAATCAGTAAAATCGCATGTCAATTGAAGAAAATAATATAAACGTAAATTAAAAATCAACAATAGTAATTAAAACACGAATTTTATTCATAAATCAAACACTTCTTTAAATTTTGACTAAATTATACGTAATTTCTTAACGTTAACAATAAGCTGGTGATGTTTCAAGGACAAGCTGTCATCTCATACTTTGACAATATTTTGTTTTCACCATTTCATAGGTATTGGTTGCTGAAATTTGTTGATTGGATGTTGAAGCTCATTCGTTGTATTTGACGGACTGTTACCCTATAGGTGGAGAATAACGGACTGTTAATTTGCCAACCTTGGTGAAATCCACCCTAAAAGTGATTTTCTTTTCAGGTCAAGGACGAGCTTGAAACCTCCAATGTCACCAAGTCACAGGCCAAGGGAAATGAGTAGGGAAAGGGACAGGGCAAGAAGGAGGAAAAATGAAGTTAGCTCTGTTGAGAGCTCGACTGAAGGAGATAGCAGTCAGCAATCACAAAGAAGTATAGTGTATCTACATGCTGCAACTGGTGAGTCAAAATACGTTTTCGTCGGATGAAACAACTCAAAAATCAGTTTATCTAGTACATTGGCCTAATTTCCTTTTTTTAGAGGCCTGTTCAGCTTATAAGCTCTGTAAATGAAGAGTTATTATTTTATAATCGATAAAAATTTGAATTTAGCTTATTGAAGCATGACGAAAATTTCCGGATCCTACCGAAGCCAGAAACTGAACATTTTTTGAAAATAATTTGTCGATTTTTCTGAAACGGAGTTGTAAATATTGTATATACAGTTCAGCAAGTTCTTAATAAATTATAGCTTGATATATAAGCTTCAAAAGTTGCCTCTACGATATTTTAGTATCTACGTTGGTTTACGTGATTGTGCCAAGTCACTTAGGGCTCTCATTATGCACTGCATGAATGGTCGTATGCGGAATTTTCGAGCCATCTGATAATATAATTGTTTTCTGGGTCATTCACCAAGCTGCATAGTTAATGAATATTATACAAGATGTAAAGAAAAATCTGTATTTTAACAAGAATCTATTAAATTTTTTCCAAAACATTTATTTGGTATTCCATGGTGAGTAAAAGATGTTTTTGTGGTCAAGTGCTATTTTATTTTAGTCCATAAATGTTTTCAAAATCATCGTAACGAAAAACTTTTGTAGATATTTATGTTCCATTTGCTGTAGAATAATTATGTCGAATAGGAAATATCTGCTTTCTAGAAAAGAAAATCTGGCACAACAAAGTTCGCCTCTTTTTAGGCATTATTAATAAGCTTTTCGTGACATTATTAACCATATATTGAGAAGAAGTAAATATAAAACCTCATTAATAATAGCATAAGGAGTTGAAAATATACCTGATTGAAGGTACCAAGACAGTTTTTCTTTACACGTTATGTTATTGAAGTAATATTTAGTTTGACGCATTGCCAACATTGCAATACCAAAAATGATAATAAAATTGGAATTACACTCAATTAGAAAGCGTAAGCCAATATGTCCCGTATTTACGGTGTGTTATATCGAATATTTTTCGGCCAACCCTGTTAATTTTTAAAAACAAATTATTGTGCCCAAGTATACAGGGTGTTTAAAGACTACTCTCACCATTGGGGTCTCGGAAGCTGTGAGAGATACGAAGTCGCTTGAATGCGGGCAATGTTGCGAACTCATAAACTTCCGGAGACGGAAAAAAACCGATTTTTTTCCCAAAATCATTTTAATTTTTTCCTGACCTTATTTGTAAATGGGATTTTGAAATAAATTGCATATTGACATTGATAAACGGTGCAGTGAACAATGTACAGAGTAGAGTCAGGCCTTGCCTACAAAATTATTGGCTATCTACTATGATTTTGCTCTTCTTTTTTAAGATTATTGTTATTACGAACAATAAAATTTTGTGTTCAAGTTTCACCGTACCTCTTTATTTCCTTATAATTTTAGTTCCAACAACAAATTTAGGACCCCAAAATCCATTTAGATGTACCTACTAAGTTCCAATCTAGTGTTATGAAGAAACAAAGTTGGTGATGAAAGTCGAAAAAAGAAACCTTGAATTAAAAATTTGACTACCTACGCCATCTTGTGGAGGAGAAAAAGTGACAATACAACAATGCAATTATTTTGAAATCCCTCAAATAAAAAAAATGATTTTGCGGTAAATATGGTATATGGAACAAATGACTACTTGATAGTTTCAAGACCTACTTGGGAAATTGTTTTTTTTTTAAACTTGCCAATGTTATTGTATGACAAATACATTTTGAAATCAGAATTAGAAACTCGATTATGCCATTTGGTAGAGGAAAAATATTAATGATCAATTAATTTTGAAATCCCGCTTCAAATAAAGTCAGGAAAAAATTAAATCTATATTGAGAAAATTCGGTTCTTTCCGTCTTCTTCCGGAAGTACTTTGAATTTCGAAACTTTCTAAGGGGCATTTTGTTGACTACCTTTTTTTTTTTTTTTCTCTACTTTATTAGCGATCAGAGTGTATGTACATTCTATAAGCTAATTTGCTGGATGGTACAATTTTTAAGTAGTTGTACCTCATGACGGGATGAAGTAGACATCCAACGATGTCACCTCAGTCTTGCAAGTCTAGTGGCAATTTCCTTTTCAGTCTCCTGGTCTCAGTGGGATCTAATAGCGATGGCAGCAGTGGGTTTGGATGGTCGCTAAGCCTAGCATGGTGTTTGCAACTTCTTTCCATGATGACTTCCCTGATGAATGGGATTTTCAGATCCCTATGGAGCGTTTCATTTGAGACATACCAAGGCGCATCTGCAATGCTTCTAAGGATTTTTGATTGAGCTCGTTGAATGATTGAAAGGTTTGACTTGCTAGCGCAGCCCCAGAGTTCGATCCCGTAAGTCCAAATGGGCTTGATGATGGCTTTGTATATCAGTAACTTGTTTTCTATGCTTAGTTTTGATTTGCGTCCTATCAGCCAATTTAACTCTTTACTTTTCAAGTCGATCTGTTTTCTTTTCTTGGATAAATGTTGCTTCCAGTTTATTTTGTTGTCCATGTGCAATCCCAGGTATTTAACACTTGCATGTTGAGGTATGGTGACTTGATTCAAGGAAACAGCTGGGCATTGTCCTTTGCGGAAAGTGAAGGTGATGTGTGTGGATTTGGTTTCGTTGACTTTGATCTTCCATTTGTTCAGCCAACTTCCTATATCGTCTAGGTGCCTCTGTAGTTTACTTGAAGCGTGGTCGGGATCTTCATCAGTTGCAAGAATCGCCGTATCGTCTGCAAATGTGCCAACTGTTGTTTCAGTTGTTGTGGGTATATCCGCTGTATATACGACATATAGTAAGGGACCCAGTATGCTGCCCTGTGGGACTCCTGATTTCATAGGGTAGTAGCTTGAAGTCTCACTGTTTACTTTAACTTTGTAGCAGCGGTCACTTAAGTAGGATTGTAGCAACTTGAGGTACTTGGCTGGCAATACTTTCTTTATTTTATGCAACAAGCCTGGATGCCACACTTTATCAAATGCCTGCTTCACATCTAGGAAGGCTGCCGTACAGTATTCTTTTCTTTCGAAGGATTTGGCGATTATATCCGAAAGGCGGTGACACTGCTGCACAGTTGAGTGAGCCGGCCTAAAGCCAAACTGATGATTAGGGATCCAAGCTAGCCGATCCAGTTGGCCATTTATTCTATTCAGGATAAGTCTTTCCAAAAGCTTAGAAATTACTGGCAAGAGGCTGATCGGGCGATAAGAACTAATATCCATTAGATTTTTTCCTGGTTTCGGTACCATAATTATTAGCGCACTCTTGAAGGACATGGGCCAGTAGTATAGCCTTATAATCGCATTAAATATATAAAGCAATTTCATCAAGCCTTTCTTGGGAAGTTCTTGTAACATTTTGCCTGTGATCATGTCAGCTCCGGGAGCTTTTTTTATATTTAGCCTGTTTATTTCATTTTGTAATTCCTTCGGAGAGAAAGGTGCTAACCGTTCTTGAGTTAAAAGATGGATGAGATTGGCTTCATCTACTTCCTGCACTGGATCGTCATTGTGTGGGATGAACACTTCGGCAAGGTGTTGTGCAAATGCGTCAGCTTTTTCTTTATCGCTTTTTGCCCATTGACCATTAGCTACTGTTTGGCTACGGATTGGGGGTGATGTAGAATGAGGTTTTCTCTTAGCTTTTATGGGCTTCCATATGGAGTTATCTTGTCTCGTGAGTTGAGATACGTAGCCTTCTACGGAGGCATTCCTCATTTCTTGGAGTTTAGACTTTAGCTTATTACAGCAGGTGTTGTACTTTGTTCGGCTGGCTGGCGTGCGGGTACGTTGCCAGATTGATCGTGCTCTTCTCTTCTCTGCAACTAGCTTCTTTATTTCAACGGGGATATTTTTTGTTTTGTAAGCACAGTCTATGAATGGTGTGGATTCTTTCGCTGCCTGTTGGAGTGTACAAATAAAGCTATTGCAGTCGACCTCTATATCATTTGGCTGCTTCAATCTGGTTGAGAGATTGATGTTATCTACAATTATCTGTTTGTATCTATCCCAATTTGTTTTGTTATTATGCAATCTTGGAGTAGGTTTCTTACATATCACTGCTGTGCTCAGAGTTAGGGTAATTGGGCTGTGGTCTGATGTGAGGTCAAAGCTTGAAGATATTTCTGTATAAGATGAAGATATGCCACTGGTTATGAAGAAGTCTAAAAGATCGGGAAGTCTATTTACATCTGTAGGCCAATAAGTAGGTGCTTCTGGTGAAATAAACGTGTAGTTGTTTTCTAATATGACTTGTATCAGTTCTCTTCCTTTTGTTGTTGTGAGCCGTGAGCCCCATGTGGTATGCTTGCTATTGTAGTCCCCCCCAACAATGAATTTTGGACCAAGAGTTATAAAGAAATTTTTGAATTGCTCATTTTTGAGGTTATGACGTGGTGGACAGTAGACAGCTGATACTGTTATACCGTAAGGAAGACTGTTTACTTTTACAGATGCTGCCTGGATATGGTTTTCTTCATACTTAGGCATTTCGTGGTGTTTGATTGTTTTTTTAATAAGTACTGCAGCTCCTCCATGTGCTGTACCATCGGGATGATTTGTATTGTAAAGTATATAATCGGGTATAGAAAAATAGCTTCTTTCAGTGAAATGTGTTTCACTGATTAGTAGGACGTCTATATAGTTTTGCTGTAAAAACAATTTAACTTCTTCTTTATGACTAGGAAGACCATTGGCATTCCACTGGGCAATTCTTAGAAAATTGGCCATTTTAATTGATTTTGTTGATTAGCGTGGCAATCATGTTGAGGATCAGACTGTTTTGTTGTAGGAGCTGGTTGAACATATTTTTAAATTCATCTAGGAATTTATTCATTGTTGAAGTTAGACTTACCGAGTTTTCAGTGTTGTTGGCTACTGCATCTGCATACGTTCTTGAGTATTGGCGGTTAGTGGCGGGCTCAACATTGTTAACATAAGCTGGTTCACTAGTTATAGGTGGTAGGGGTGTTTGGAAGGTGGGATTTTTATTTTTCAATGTTCTGTGGTAGTGTTCGCAGCCTCTATAGTTTGCAGTATGACTGCCACCACAAAGGGCACATTTTGCTGGCGCATCTTTCGGCTTCTTGCAGTCCTTAGTATTATGGGGACCACCACATTTCACACATAAGTATGGTTTGTTGCAGTATGTTTTAGTATGTCCAAATTGTTGGCATCTCATATACTGGATGATATTGTTCTTTCTAGGTCTGGGTGGCTCTATTTGAATAGTTTTATTCTGTAATCCTCTGATGTTATATATATCTTTATTATTTTCGGCTGGCTCAAGATCTACAAAGAATAAGTTTAGTGGTTCTTTGGTAGTCCTATGAAGAACATTTATTATGCTGCGAACTTTGTGACCCAGTTTTCCCAGCTCCTCTTTTATATCATCGATTTTTGTAGAGTGATGTAGATACCTTATCACTACCCTGTATGATCGCTCTTCTTTCAGTTGGTAGGTATGGTGAAAGATACTATTTTCTTTGAAGTTTCTGATGAGCTTACGGTATGATTCTGGGGTTGCGCAGTTTATTTTCACAACGTTGTTTGCGAGGCTCTTCGTGATATATTGCTCGTCTTCTAATATGTCTCTAATGGTGTTGACCATTTCCTCGTAGTTGATCACTCCATGAACAAAGATTGGGGGTGGCTTTGGAATTCGTTGAGTGTTATTTCCGACATTATCATCTGTTTTGTCTGCTAGGATATCAAATCTGTTGTTTACAGTTACACTTTCCGTTGTTTCTTTGTTCTGCTCTTTGGCAACTTTCCTCCTTTTAACGCTTCTCATCACTTGCCACGGGTTATTTCTATTTTGTTGTGAGTCCTCTAATTCTTCTTCACTTGTTGATGACATTCTTAGTATTTGATTATGCTCTATTACTGACACATCCTGGCTATGAGACATTGTTGATGAAATGTTTTAGACCACCTGCATAACCGGTGCCACCAGCTCTTGCACTGCTAACTAACGACACTTATTTTGTTTCACGTTTTTACAGCTTTTGTTATGGAACACTTTTTTATTATTATGATTATATTATTTGTACTCGTACTCGTACTCGTCGATTCGCTTATCAGCACGTCCGTTTGCTACGAAATCCAAACGAGAACTTTGACTACCTAAATACGCAACTTTACCCCCATTAAGGCGGCTCCGACGCAGTGAGTTTCAAGCCATTTACAAGGGTTCAGCTGCTTCAAAACTGACACTCCATTTTTCAATATTTTTGAATGAAATTCATACAGTATGTTGAGAAGATAATTGCCCAGGGTGCTATAGGAGCACTTTTTGAAATTTTGTTTTTGCCCAAGTTATATGATGGGCTGAAGTGCGCAATTTTTCTGTTCAACTTTTCTTAAAAAGAACCTAGTGAAAAAAATGAAAAAGTGGCTCTATAAGCACCCTGTGGGGTTTTGTTTTCAGCACTCTGTGAAAATTTTATCCAAAAATATCAAAAAATCAAGCGTCAATTTCGAAGCGCGCAAACCTCTACAAATCGTATTTTGGACGAATTTTGTCTACTGTTTCGTGCTGCCAAACCAAGCGTTGCGGCGCAATGTACGGACTAAGAAAGGACGTATTCAGATAATTTGGTGGCCCTATTTCATATAATATCGCGTAGATAAGTCATTCTGCAAATAGGTACTCATAATCGCGATCGCTGATACTCCTCGATTTTAAAGCCATTTTACTTCCCACGTCATTGGCGAGGAAGTATTGTAATCGCGAAAAATTTCTAAAATGAGATGTTATGTTTTTTTAAGTCATATGACATCTACATCACGAAAAACTGTATCACTCATCATCAACTTGGAAATTACCGCTCTGATTTTTATGAAATTTCCACACGCGGTTACTAGTGTGCCAAAGCTTTGTAGTTTTAGTCCAGTGGCAACGGTGCTATAGGCAAAAAAGAAAAAGTAACAATTGCTGAAACTCCGTTTTTGACGTTTCAGGGGCTCCTAATCATTGACAAAAAAATTCTACTGCCACTGCTGACACCAACAGCCAACAGATCTGCAACTACCGACAGTAGGGAAGAATAAATTCAGATATCACTCCAGTCAAGTATAGGGGAATTTAGCGTGGAACTTTAAAATTATCGATATGTCAAGGAAATCTGTTTTTGAGAACGATCATTTGGTAGATTTTATACCTGAATTATCATTTGAATTTCATAACCCGTGAAATGTACCCATTTCGCCGTTACCTTTTGTGTTTTGCAGTTTGTGATGTTTTTCTGGATATAAGCAGGCCATAATTGCCTAGAGTGCTATCAGAGCTTTTTACAAAATTTTGTCTTTGCGCAAGAATTATGGTGGGTTGAAATGCTCACTATTTGTGCTCAACTTCTTGATATTTTAAAAAGATCGTAGTGGATGTCGCATATAACCTTTTATTGTCCATTATCAACCTTGATAAAAAAGTCACTCAAGAACAATCACACCAACAAGAGTACAACACAACAATTCAACAACACAATATCGACGAACAGTAACAAGGGTAGAACCATACTAAATGTACCAAAATAGGAAACGATTTACAGGCTAGATCGCTAATCGAAATCCGACTCTGTTATTATAAAAATTTACCGACTCAGTATCTCTTGCCGTTTCCGATATCCTTTTGGTGAGAGCCGAATTTGAAACACCCGGTATACGCATAACTAGATACGACTGTAATGGACGTGTATGCTTGGCGTCTCTGTATCCATGACCAACCGCATACAGCGTTAGCTCATTAGCAACTCTTCAGTGCGGTATAAGTTTTAAGTCTAGTCTTCGAAACAGACGAGATAAATGTTTTTCTGAACGGGATCACTGTATAGAAGTGCGGCATACGTCAAAGCGCGACTGGGTACCTAATGATCTTGAACTTTTAAGGTAAAATATTATGGAATTACAGAAGCACGGAACATGAAACTGTCCATTGTAATATTAAGTTTGTGTGTTGTATGTTTGTGCTAGCTCATCATAAAAGGGCAAATCATGTATTTTTTTATTTCACGCGACAACAATCGTTTTAAAACAAACCATTCGACCACTTCATTTGACGTGTCTTCTTGCAGTTGGTGACATTCCCGGTCCCGCAAATCTGCGCAACGGCCGTCGAGCAGCTTCTCGAGAAGAGTTAGCCTCAAACTCCTCCAGTCGCATCCAACCCCAAGTGAAGACCTTGAGCCGCTCCTTCTCGGTGCTGGCTCCCTGGAGACCACGGCACCCCAAGGAGGCCATGGACATAGATTATGCGCAACAGCCGAGGAAAAATGGCAAGTACGAACAGAAGGTGACCAGAAATGGAGGCAGAAAGGACAGCTCATCTACGCTCAAAAAGGTAAGGTCTTATTTAGTAAAAGATGGCGTGTCCTAGATCGATTCCGCATTTCCCAAGCAACACTACCATCATAAAGAATTATGGCTTTTGGCAGATCAAAGTAAAATTATAGGAATTACTTTCATATATCAATCTCCAGGCCGCCGTTTACAGTTCAAAATTGTATTTTGGAGAAGGCCACCGATATGGTAGGTAAAACATTAGTAAACTTTGAATTTTAGATCTTTGAGTCCGGGCAATATTTTTGCACCTGATGGAAAAATATCCTGATTAAGATTTTTGCATAACCTTATTCAAAAAGAGCTCCTTGTAACTAATCTGCATGTTTCCAGGACCAAATTCGCGTCAATAAATGATTTTTTCAAACAAATCCCAAAAATTGTATTTCTCTCGCTCCTGTCAGAGTGCGTTTTGTATTTTTTGGGACATTCGGGATACAAAAAAACCTTTAGAATTGTCCTCTACAGTTAATAGTATTTGACACAATATTTGAAAGGTAGCGATGTAGGTCACATTTGACTCCGAAAAACAGTATGAAAACGTGGAAATTTTAATGTTGCCAATTTTCCTAAATATTCTACAAACATTCAATAACCAAATCTCACAGCATTTCAAGACGTATTGTCATTGTGAACACTTGCTGTTCATTTGTTAAAAGCATACACTTACCCTACTAACAATTGAAAGCCAAAGGTTTACATTAACAATACATCCTGAATTCCTTTGAGGTTTTGTTATGGATGTTTGAAGAATATTTAGAAACTTTGGCAATATTGAAATTTTCATTTTTTATACTGTTTTTCTGGGTCAAAAAGGACATATCTCGCACTTTTTCAAATATTGTATCCACCTATATCTCGACATCTATCAACTTTAGAGAGAAGTTCTAGAATAAATTGTTCAGAATGTCCCAAAAAACTTGAAAGCACTTTGACCGGAGCGAAATTTTTGGAATTTGTCAAAGAAATTGTTCTTAAATGTTTTACGCAAATTCGATGTGGTGATATGCAGATTCGTTTGGACTAGATTATCAAAAAATCCAAACCAAAAGATTTTCCTAATCAGATGCGAAGATATTGCCCGGTCTATCTGATTTCCTTTGGCGGTCGGCACAACATGAAGATTGTTCATTAAGACAAACAGATAAGTTTTAGATGTTACATTTACCTAATAATTCTGTTTGATTACAGAAAGCTCAAGAATCAAGGAAGAACCAGTCCAGCTCCACACTGAACCGCAGATCCCGATCAAAAGAAAACCTTGGGTCCCAAACCCTACGCAGATCCAAAGAGGAGTTAACGAGAGGCTCCAATTCGACTCTGTATAAGAAGAAAGAACGAATGCCTCGTGAAAATTCCCGATATAATAGTAGGGATGAGAAAAAAATGTCGTCGAAGAGTCTATCAGTAGAATCTCTTGGAGGAGGTACGTCTCACAAATACCATAACAATATTTCAAACACTGGAGTTTTCACTGACCATGTTTACGCCGTAGATAGTCAAGCTCTTATATGGTGCATAGCCATACAGAACACACAATGTTCTGGTATAGAACAGCAATTAGAAACAGAATTAAGATGGTCTGTGGTTATCTAAACGTTTGACTACAAGCAGTAGAGATTTTTTCGCGAGATCCCGTTGTGAACAGGAGCGGGAACATATGGAACTTTCCCTTCCTCTCGAAGTTTGGACAGTTTCCAGTTACACCAAAAGTAGTTAGATGGCGCATGTTGCACAAACTGTTAGCTTTAAGATCCTTGATAAACTTAGCTGTCTTGTTTGAATCTGAATTGGTCCGAGTAAAGATAACATGGCAATGCAAGACAAGTATTGAAATATATTGTATTAGACTCTAGAAGACTATCCGTAGCGAAATTTTTCTCGAAATCATTGCACACCGCTTAAAAAATGTAAATGAAGATTGGAAAACTGAAGCTTTGACGTACTATATGACTCCGACTCCGTCGTTACCCCGGGATAAAAACACATTTTAGCACTAAACCCTGTCATTCTTGTCACCTTAATTGCTGCGTTGCCAGCTCATCGGACAATTTTGCTACCTCTGCTATTTTGCTAGAATGTTATATAAAAAAGAAGCTTTGAATGAAACATTGAGGGATACCAATAGAGATATATAAAATTTGACTACTAGCAATGTTTGAAAAAAACTAAAGAAAGGTCTTATTTACACTTTGCGTCGCCGGGCGTCTATGCGGTGGAACGTGAATGACTCTGAACACTTTTATAAATGCTCAGTTTTATAGGATAAAATACGTTTTGAATACGGGACTTCTTCCAACAATTGGAAAAAGAAAACATTATACAAATATATTTATTAAGTATTTGATCTAAAATTACATGATCATTAATAGGAGAAGTACGATTTTCATTTTCTCTATTTAGCACTTGGGCGAGGAAAACCATAGAAAACCTCAACCGTCACTGCATTTGTACAATCGAAAATCGCCAAAGTTATTAACCTAAAAAAAATAGCATTGAAGTATTGGTTTATACGAGAGTCATTTTTTAAGTAAGTAATTTTGTAATCGTCAGAGATATTTTATTTATGAATGTAAATTGTATCACAAACTAAAATATGAACATTTTTTTCATTTTTCAACATAGCCACCATACCAACATTCAAACACAATTCAAGCTGTGGCACCAGTTTTTGTGTTAATGTAGCATCTGAGACTTATCCTGCGGTTTTCATGACGACTATACCCCTCGTATTAAATTCTACCAATCACCAACGCAAAATTTTGAATTACAAATGGTTTCTAGATGGAAAAATTGTACGACAGTACCTGTCCGCATTTTTTCCAGTTTACCTGCGGCAATATTTGACAGCTGTTGTCACCAAACATTACAATACCTTTGATAACAAGTAATTATGGCCTCCTAAGACAGCAGAAAACGCCGCTAAGCTAAATTTTGTAATATTGTTTTTAAACAGTGCTTGTCAGCGTATGTAGTGAAAATGAGTCGCTTTGGAATTGATTCTTTGACTAATATTTATCTGGCGATTGAGATATACCTCAGTAATGACTAATCTCTCAGTGTATGCAATGTGCACAATTTATGTAAAAAAACATAGGATGTCAACCCTAATACACAACTAGATCAGTATGCAAAGCTCACCTAGTTTGCTGCACAGATATCCCTCAGAAAAGTTGGAGGTAGACCTAATTTCCACTTTGGAGACACTTTACGCCCAAGATAATTGGTAAAAAACTGGGAACCAGATTCTGTAACGCATCATTTTCACAAAATTTTACTCGTATACAGCGTTATGGACAAAATTTTGTAGATGGCCTTTAGATTATTTAACGACTTATTCGCATATAAAAAAGGTAAATATCTACGTACGTTTATTGGATTTTAAGTTTTTTTTATATTTCCATTTATCTTGCCATGAGCAACAAGTGATAAAATGGTCAGGTTTTACATATTAAGTTTTTGTGGTGGCTGCGTGTATTTGGTAATAAAGTATATATTTTGCATCTACCATTTCGCTTAAGATTCTTGAGTTCCGTAACTAAAGCATGCCTCATGGAACTGAATAGTTGCTAACATAGAGAAACTATTAAAATATAAAAGCTTTTCTTTTGGTTTGCAGGACGGCGATCAAAAAGTAGTACCGATTCACGAGATATCTCCAGATCGGTATCTATGCCAAGAGACCCAGAAAAGTCAGCAGGATGGTTCAAAATGAGCAAGAAAAAGCATTCTGGGAGCACTCAAAGACTGTGATTGGACGCTTTCCAACAATGATGAATCAGTGGCGCACTGGGGATAGACTATTTAGGCCAATTTATCAATAACCTAGATCCTCGCCTTCAGAAATATTTTAGGATGTGTAATGTGAAACATAGCTAGAACACCTTCTAACACGTGCGAAGCTACATGCCTTAGAAAATATGAATTATAATAACAGTTACGCTATACCTACGTTGTCTTATACTTTGTCACGTTATTTTGACATCGAAGTCAGTCCTATGGTAAAATAGCATGATGGATAATAACGTAAGTCGTAACGTCATTATTTCTATTCTCCGTTTCACCGAGCAATCAACAAACATGTAAATCCCTTAACTCATATGAGTCAGAAATATATATTCTAATATTTCAGGAAGGTACAGATGGAAAACAAGGTGAATAAAAATAACAAAATCTTCGATTTGCTAATCGCATGAACCTCATCTAACACATCAAACCATAATTATCATCCAGGCATTCTCGCGGACATAATTTCAACCACGCCTGCCGCTATTTACTCTTAAAAACTTTCCTAGTACGCCACTGATTAACTTCAACCTGTGCCATCGACGAAATATCGTTCTCTCGCATTTAATGACGGTTAAATTGTGTCCGAGACGAACCTGTTTTCATTTTGAAGTTGTTAGGTTTTACTAATGCTGCATCTTCAAGAATTAACCTTCTCAGGGAAAATAAAAATTATAAGAAAACTTTGAAATGGGATAGAACTCACAAAAATGTGGGCATAACACAAGTTTCTCGCATTCTAATTTGACTGGACTATTTTGTAATTTTACAGCTCATGAATTATAGACATAGTTGCCGCTTGATTAATGGCTAAGTGGCATCTTAGAAAAGCTCACGTTCATTGCATTATCTCGATGAACAGACTGTTCCCAGCTGTAAAGAAAAATGTCAAAATTGCTCAACTTTTTTGAAGAATGTATTTCGTTGGTGCAGTTTCAGTGAAACCCAATGCATTTATTTTTTATTAAGACGCAGTCAGTGCCTTATAGGTTAAAATAACGAAAGATTCCGTTTTCTTTTCATTACGTTTCGAATACCTAGTGAAAATGAAGCAGGATCAAGTCAGTCTTTGAAATTGCAGTAAGACTTCTTTGGCCAGTCTAAAGTTGAATATGTTTTGTTATAAAAAATATCTATTCAAAATCAGTTCAATTTTGAATTTGACTCTGACGCTGACTAAATGTAAAAACAGTGATATATGCAATACTCACAGAATGACTATTCAAGCGGAAATGGTTTTATAAGCCTCACATCCGGATTTAGCAAGATTCTTATGTATTTTACGTTCTTTCTACAAGCTCTTTGACTGCAATGACATAGCTTAAGATTTAAAAAACGTGGCTTTTTTCACTCGAATTGCTACTGAAATCAAAAAATTCAGCAGCTTATAGAGTAAAGCTAATATAACTTGTCTAACTTACAGACTAAACATTCCAATATGGTGCTATACTAGAATTATATTTTTCTAAGAATCATATTTTGTAAAAGTGTAAATAACCTGATGAACTGTAAATGTTTGGGTAAGGTATTTAATATAGACTAAGATCACAACACGTCACAGTTTTTGTTACCAAATTACCCACAATCGAAAATACTTGGACATGCAGTGTACCTAAAGATGTCTCATATACGAACTCAGTGTTATTCTTTTACTCTTCATACGTCATAGTCACTAAAATATGTTTGTAAGTATGTGTGCTATATTAAAATAAACTCGTTTAATACAAAACAAATCTGTTTTATTGTGGCCCAGATCCTTTCTTATTATTTCTGTAATCTACTGGGTGTTTCAGTTTATTGTTGCATAACTTTAAGATTCGATAGAACTTTTAAAATTAATGCATAAAGTCTATATAAAGATGGGTCGGAAAATGCGTGGCTTCCGAAATACAGGGTGTTTAAATTTACTTTCTGAAATAGTTTTTTTAAATATTTCGAACAATATTTGATGTATAACAGTGAAAATTGGTATACAAGGGTTTTTCGGTACGAGAAAACAAAACATGGGCTTAGTTTTACTGTAGCCGCTAGAGGGCGCTCTCTACTGTACCTGTAGTGTATTAAAATGACCGAAAATTTTTTCATAGTGCAATTTTTTGCTTTTTGAATAAAAAAGCTGATTCTTCGCACTTTTCAACATAAAAAAGTTTTCTTGTGAATTTTCGTTATAGTTAGCCGTTTTTGAGATATTTCGATTTTTAAGGTTCGATGCATTTTTAATTATGTATGATAAAATAACGTTAAAAAGTCAGTATCTCGATAATTTTTAGAAGTAGGCTGTGCCTGCAAATATTTTTGAAATTGAAAGCAGAATAAGGTTAAACGTCAATTAGTTGACAGCTAGTTTTGTTGTCTGTTGAAACCTGAAACGTTTTTTTGCAATTGTGAATGCACGAAATTTAGTTTCATTTACCTGTTTTTTTTTTGTAAGTTTTATAAAAATGTCATTTTTATTCTCCAATCAAGAGTTAGCGGATATTTATTTTGTGTCTGGCTTTGTAAATGGAAACGCAGCAGAAGCAGCCAGAGAATACGCACGAAGATTTCCAAACACGTCATCCAACTCGCTCAATATTTGTAAGAGTGCATCGCCAAATAATTGAAAATGGTTTTGGAAATCTCCAAGGGGATCAAAACATAAATGTTCGTCAGCGCAGATTTACCCGTATGATTCTGCGTGAGTTTGATAGAGATCCGACCACAAGTGTTAGGAGAGTTTCTGGTGCCTTGGGAATTTCAGCAAGCCATGTTCACCGTGTTTTTAGAAATGACCATAGACGTCTTTACCATTTGCAACCTGTGCAAGGACTACAGCCAGGGGACGGAGAACGAAGAATCATATTTTGTCAGTGATGACGAAAGCCGTCGATATGTCGAAGTGCTTCTGATGTGGTAGGAGTTGGTATCAGTTCCATACCGACAGATTCTTCATCTTTATTTTCCTTTTCTTCGTCATCATCAGTATCAACTGCCGAAGATATATCGGCTGCAATGGCATCATCATCCAGGTATTCGACAGTCATGAAAAATTGTAAATCAAATTCATATCTCAGAGTGCTTATTTATGTATGTTTAGGACATGTTATTGTGCAGTACCGTTGATGTACGAGTACTTAATCCCATTTCAGAACAAACTTCACTTTGCTTCACACCTCCTTGCAATCTTTTGACCATATCGTATTTACTATTTAAAGAAATTGCGCCACCCAGGATTTCAAGAGTGCAGGACACTGAATACAACGAATAAACAAGGCTGCTCATACCCCACCACGCGGTCTAAAGATTTCGGTTACCTGATTCTGGTAAAACCCAGTTTTACGCTCGTTATATTCGAAAAATTTTACGTATATATCAAATATTTAGATTCGTTTTATCAGGAGTTTCGTTATAAGCGGGTTCGTTATATGCAAGAAAAATAGCACACATTTAATATCATTTCAGTCGGTGCCTTATAAATTAGTTCCTTATAAACGGAAGTTTGCAATAAACGGGTTCGTTATAAGCGGACATTACTGTATTTTCGGAGAGAGTCGGTAAAGGCAGAATTTTCTTAAAATCTTTTTTATTTATTTATGACCTTATTTGCGGTAGGATTTCAAAATAAATTGCATATTAACTACTAAGTAAACTCTACAAGGCGGCATAATTACAATTTGAATCTGACGCTTCATTTCTTGTCCTCAATAATCAACAAAAATGCCATTTTTATTCTCCAATCAAGAGTTAGCGGATATTCATTTTGTGTGTGGCTTTGTAAATGGAAACGTAGCAGAAGCAGCCAGAGAATACGCACCAAGATTTCCAAACAGACGACATCCAACTCGATCAGTATTTGTAAGAGTGCATCGCCAAATAATTGAAAATGGTTTTGGAAATCTCCAAAGGGATCAAAACATAAATGTTCGTCAGCGCAGATTTACCCGTATGATTCTGCGTGAGTTTGATAGAGATCCGACCACAAGTGTTAGGAGAGTTTCTGGTGCCTTGGGAATTTCAGCAAGCCATGTTCACCGTGTTTTTAGAAATGACCATAGACGTCTTTACCATTTGCAACCTGTGCAAGGACTACAGCCAGGGGACGGAGAACGAAGAATCATATTTTGTCAGTGATGACGAAAGCCGTCGATATGTCGAAGTGCTTCTGATGTGGTAGGAGTTGGTATCAGTTCCATACCGACAGATTCTTCATCTTTATTTTCCTTTTCTTCGTCATCATCAGTATCAACTGCCGAAGATATATCGGCTGCAATGGCATCATCATCCAGGTATTCGACAGTCATGAAAAATTGTAAATCAAATTCATATCTCAGAGTGCTTATTTATGTATGTTTAGGACATGTTATTGTGCAGTACCGTTGATGTACGAGTACTTAATCCCATTTCAGAACAAACTTCACTTTGCTTCACACCTCCTTGCAATCTTTTGACCATATCGTATTTACTATTTAAAGAAATTGCGCCACCCAGGATTTCAAGAGTGCAGGACACTGAATACAACGAATAAACAAGGCTGCTCATACCCCACCACGCGGTCTAAAGATTTCGGTTACCTGATTCTGGTAAAATCCAGTTTTACGCTCGTTATATTCGAAAAATTTTACGTATATATCAAATATTTAGATTCGTTTTATCAGGAGTTTCGTTATAAGCGGGTTCGTTATATGCAAGAAAAATAGCACACATTTAATATCATTTCAGTCGGTGCCTTATAAATTAGTTCCTTATAAACGGAAGTTTGCAATAAACGGGTTCGTTATAAGCGGACATTACTGTATTTTCGGAGAGAGTCGGTAAAGGCAGAATTTTCTTAAAATCTTTTTTATTTATTTATGACCTTATTTGCGGTAGGATTTCAAAATAAATTGCATATTAACTACTAAGTAAACTCTACAAGGCGGCATAATTACAATTTGAATCTGACGCTTCATTTCTTGTCCTCAATAATCAACAAAAATGCCATTTTTATTCTCCAATCAAGAGTTAGCGGATATTCATTTTGTGTGTGGCTTTGTAAATGGAAACGTAGCAGAAGCAGCCAGAGAATACGCACCAAGATTTCCAAACAGACGACATCCAACTCGATCAGTATTTGTAAGAGTGCATCGCCAAATAATTGAAAATGGTTTTGGAAATCTCCAAAGGGATCAAAACATAAATGTTCGTCAGCGCAGATTTACCCGTATGATTCTGCGTGAGTTTGATAGAGATCCGACCACAAGTGTTAGGAGAGTTTCTGGTGCCTTGGGAATTTCAGCAAGCCATGTTCACCGTGTTCTTAGAAATGACCATAGACGTCCTTACCATTTGCAACCTGTGCAAGGACTACAGCCAGGGGACGGAGAACGAAGAATCACATTTTGTCAGTGGATTCTTGATAGGACTGATAATAATAGGGAGTTTTTAAGTAACGTTTTATGGACCGATGAGTCATGCTTCACTGGACGTGGAGTGGCAAATTTTCATAATCAACATATTTGGTCGCATGAAAATCCGCATTCAGTTCGGGAAAGAAATTTTCAGCATGAATTTAGTGTGAACGTGTAGATTGGTATCTACCGTAATCGACTATTTGGACCCTACCTTTTGCCTACAAGGTTAAATGCTGCGACCTTCTTGGAATGTTTAAAGGCTGAACATGTAAATATGTGGGATGATGTTATGTTAGATTTAAGAAGATTGGCCTGGTTCCAGCTTGATGGTTGTCCAGCTCATTATTCGAGAATAGTTAGAAACTGGCTGGACGAAAATTATCCAGAAAGATGGATCGGCCGTGGAGGGCCAGTCGCTTGGCCTCCACGATCCCCTGACCTAAATCCGTTAGATTTCTTTGTGTGGGGATTTCTAAAAGAAAAACTGTACCAGACTCCCGTAACCACAAGAGATATGTTAATAGACAAAATCAGGAATGCATGTGATGAAATAAGGCCTTATTTGAATAATGCTATACCACATTCGATCATTCGTAGATGTGAATTGTGTATTGAACAATTGGGTTTACATTTCGAGCAACTACTTTAGATTTTGTATGTTTGTCCTAACTATCCAATAGCATTTTAGTTGTAAATAATTAGTTTAATTTGTTAAAAATAATATTGGAAAATTAAACAAATTAATATGCTGTTTTTTGTGTTTATTTGGAGTTAGGAATTATTGCTGTGTTTAAAAACACAATCTAAACGATCATCTTAATTACTTGTAATGCCCAAATCGAAAATGTAAAAAAAATATTATTCTCCCCTAAATAATTAAAAATGCATCGAACCTTAAAAATCTAAATATCTCAAAAACGGCTAACAATAACGAAAACTCACAGGAGAGCTTTTCAAAAAGCAAAAAATTGCACTATGAAAAAATTTTCGGTCATTTTAATACACTACAGGTACAGTAGAGAGCGCCCTCTAGCGGCTACAGTAAAACTATGCCCATGGTTCGTTTTGTCGTACCAAAAAACACTTGTATACCAATTTTCACTGTTATACATCAAATATTGTTCGAAATATTAAAAAAAAAACTATTTTAAAAAGTAAATTTAAACACCCTGTGTTTCGGAAGCCACGCATTTTTCGACCCATGTTTATATAGACTTTATGCATTAATTTCAAGTTCTATCGAATCTTAAAGTTATGCAACAATAAACTGAAACACCCTGTATATACAGCGTATACTGGATGAAAAGTTCGATTTAGGACATTAAAATATTGTTTTTTAGCATAGCGAAGTGTGCAGGAT